AGCAAACACATTGATAGCACACATACGTTCGAGCAAACACGTACACATAGATGCGTGCACAGACACACACCCTAATGTACAAACAAACACAATCACGCACGTACGTACATGCACACAGACACATAGACATCCACACAGACACAGACGGACTCTCAAACACGCACGGGCACACTCACGTACAAAAAGCGTGCGACCAAATTAATTAGCATTGTACTGGACCACAAACATCATGAGAATGATTGGTTAGCGACTTTACGTGGCGTGATAAAAATCTACTGCATGCATCTCATCTCCCCACACACACTCGCACGCACACGCACACACATACACACACACACACTTTCATTTCTTCTATCTCCTCTTAGTCCTCACAGACACGCACGCACACACACACACATATTTACATGTACGGATAAACGGATAATACACATTCACAATCACAAACAAAAACATACGGACACATACACACACTCACATTCAGACACATACACGCACATTTGCACACAGAAACATACAAACACACGGACGCACATAAACACATGATCTGTTTATGTGATGTTGTATAATAGATTTATGGACTGTTGATTCACAAACTTCTTTTTGGTATTTATTCATTTTATGTTCATAAATGAATGAATGAATGAGTGAATGAATGAATGAATGAATGAATGAATGAATGAATGAATGAAAGAATGAATGAATGAATGAATGAATGAATGAATGAATGAACAAATCAATAAATAAATCAATAAATGAATCAATGAATTAATAAATCAATAAACCAATGAATAAATGAATGAACAAAAATAAATAAATAAAAGTATGAATATATAATGAATGAACGAATCACTGCACAACCAAACAGTCACATTGTATTTTGGCCTGCCTGTGTGTACGTTTATGTATGTGTGTGCGTGCAAGTATGTGTACGTGTGTCTATGTGTAAGTGCGTGTGTACGTGTACAAATTATCTTCGTTGTCGTCACCGGGTTCTTAATTAACTATGGTGATTAGCAATGATAACGAGATCCTTCGCGCTATCATCAATTCTCACAATTGTAGTTATTATCTCTTTATCATCATCATGATCATTGTCTTCCTCATCATCGTCGTCGTTGTCATCTTCATCATCGTCATTATCATCATCGTCATCATCACCATTGTCTTCATCGTCATCATCTTCGTCATAATCATCATTGTCTTCATCATGGTCGTCATCATAACGGTCATCATCGTCGTCGTCGTCGTCATCATCATCCCCTCTCCAAAACCATCCCTCTCTCACATTTTTGTGTGGAGAGCCTGAGGATTTGGATAATTAAAAAGTCGCAGCTATACATTGATGAGAGATGACTTCAGGCTGACTTCACTGGATTAGGCAACGCATATTCATTCATTTATTTTTCAGTTCGTTCCTTCGTTTATTGGTTTCTTCATTCGTTCGTTCATCCGTTTGTTTGTTTAGTTGTTCATGTGTTCGTTTATATGTTCATTTTCCGTTCGTTCTTTCATTCATGCGTTCTTTTTTTTAAAAATTCGTTTGTTAGTTTCTGTATTTTTTTTATTTGCTATTTCAATCGTTTATTCGTTCAATAATTGTTTTTCATTCATTTTTTATCTCTTTTTCTGGCATTTAAAAGTTTGTTTGCTCATTAATTTAATAATTTATCCGTCCAATCACTCATTAACTGTTCAACGTTTTAATACATTTGTAAGATTTATCATTCATTAATTTGTCTCCACTGTGAATCAATCAATCCATCCACCATTCATTCATTTCTTCCACAGTTCCATCCATCATTGCATCACTTATTCATTCGTTCATTCCTTTTTCTCTTCCATCAATCATTTCATCCTTCATTCAGCCCACTTCTACTATATCTTAGCCGATCAGTTTATTTTCATTTTGTTCTATTTTTAGGTTTGATCACCATCAGCAACATCATCATCATCATCTGCATCACCATCATCACCACCACCACCACCATCATCATCACCACCACCACCATCATCATCACCACCACCATCATTATCATCACCACCACCATCATCATCATCATCACCGTGGACCACAAGGACCATCAATGATAAAATGTCTTCAAAGCATTTTCACGGAGTACGCGCATCATCATTGCGTCACTGCGGCAGTAGTAGTAGTAGTAGTAGCAGCAGCAGCAGCAGCAGCAGCAGTAGTAGTAGTAGTAGTAGTAGTAGTAGCTCACCCCATACACACGTACACACATACACACACGTTTATATACAGATGATGTATATACATGCACACTTACAATGCGTACAAAAAAAACCACTGATAAGCATACATACATAAAAAATTTCAGTAGTAGTAGTATTAGTAGTATTATTATCAGTAGTAATACTACTAGTAGCAGTAGTAGTAGCGGTAGCCGCATTAGCATCACCAACAACAGTAGCAATAGAAGTAACCATGGCAACAATTACGTCACACTTTTACGGCTGGTTTCCCGCCATCAAAGAAAATGGCGGATGAAAAATGGCGGGGCAATGTTTGATGTCCGCTCGTTCACTCGGTTCGTCTAGCTGGCTGGCTGGCTGGCTGGCTGGTTTGGGAACGACGCTAAATGGATTAAATTATGAATTGGAGTGGAGATAATTATGTAATAATTATTTTTACCTCAAAAAACCAATAAACATAATAATAATAATAATAATAATAATAATATAATAATAATAATAATGAAAGAAATAAAACAAAAGTATTGTTGTAATTGATTATTTAAAATGGAAGTAGCAGAGAGCAAGCAGTCCAATGGCGAAGTGCATAATAATTAATTAATTATGCTAATAATAATTATACTAATAAATAATTGAATAAATAAATTGTAATAAAATTATTATATATATATATATATATATATATATATATACATGCAGCCACACTTACACTTATATGTATGTATGTATGTATATATAAATATATATATAATATATTATAAAATTATGCATAATATATGAACTGGCATAAAATCAACACATACACATTTAAATCCATAGATGAAAACAATCTAAAACAAGAAAGAAGATTTAATGATACAAATACTATACATATAAAAGAAAGATAGATTTAATAATACAAGTTAACCAATAAATTATCCTAATTAATGATTCGATGGCATATATATGATGATACAAACATAATAATATCAAACAATTATAACGATGACGACGACGACGACGATGATGATGATAATAATAATAACAATAGATGATAATATGAATTATAGATAAGGCAACAAAAATGATGACGGTGATGATAATAAAATGATCACGATGATAATGAAGGCAGCGATAAATATGGTAATGATGAAATGATATCATGGTAATGATGAAATGATATCATGGTAATGATGAAATGATATCATGGTAATGATGAAATGATATCATTACAATGATCACGAAAATGATAATGGTGATACTTAACTAACAGCTAATGAGTGAATGATGAAAAATGATAACCAAAAAGACAACTACAACAACAATGTATAGGTACACATAAGGAAAATCTATTTGATTTTCATTTGTCTATGACAATTATATATATATATATATATATATATATATATATATATATCCAAATTTTTATCTTTCTCTCTTTGTATCTGTCCGTCTCTTTTTCTTATCCCCCTTTCGCTTTCTCTCTCTCTCTTTCTCAATTTGTTATTCACCCTCATTTCACTCCATCTCTCCATCTCTCATTTTTCCTCCCCTTCTCTTTTTTTTTATTCTTTCATTTTGTTTCCTTCCTTCAACTGTCTACTAATCTCTCAATCCTCTTTTTTTCACTCCTATCTCTTTCTTTCTCTCTTTCTTTCTCTTTCTTCTTCTCTCTCTCTCTCACTTTCAGTACATATTACCGACATGAACAAAAATAAAAATTAAATAAAAATATGTTTCCATTGGAAATACAATAAAAGCCAGACGTGAAAGCATCCACACTGTACATTTAGCATTTTTGGAAGTGGTAACGCGAGACAACCAATGATGATGACAAAGTGATTATGATGATGATAAGAATGATGATGACGATTATGATGACGACGACGACGATGATGATACGAATGATGATGACGATATGGACTATGACGACGATGACGACGATAATGACGATGATATGGATATTGATGATGATGATGGTGATGTTGTCGACGGTGATGACTTTGATGACGTAGCTAATGATGACGATGATGATGACGTCATTTTCATCATCAGCACCCCCAGTAGCAGTACCAGTAGCAGTAGATCATCATCGTTATCAGCCACACAATTGTAATTAGTTATTAGGTTTAAAAGTTAAAATATATATAAATAGATATTTAAACGCATAGACATTTAACACATATTTGTAGATTTAAAAAATATTGATGTGTGTGTGTGTGTGTGTGTGTGCGTGTGTGTGAGTATGTTTATTTTTATGTGCGTGTGTGTGTGTGTGTGTGTATGAATGAATGAATATGTATGTCTGAATGAATGTGTGTATACATGTATGTATGTGTGTGAGTGTGTGGTGTGTGTGTGTGTGTGGGTGGGTGTGTGTATGTGTGGGTGTGTGAGTATGTGTGTGTACAAGTTCATGTTGAATAAATGCATATTAATAGTGGATGAAAAAAATTAAATAAAATTTGATTAATGCCAAGATATTTTAGTTGTTGTTGTTAGTAATGAAACGACATTGCTGATGTTTTTGTTGCTGTTGTTGTTGATGCCATGATAATATTGTTGCTATTGTTGTCGTAGTAGTTGTTGTTGTTGTCTGGCTAGTTGGAGTCATTTGATTCGTTGTTGTTGTTGCTGTCGTTGGCGTTTCCGACCTCCATATTATATATCTGTGACGTCAACAAAAAATTATTATTATTATTTTTCTAATAAATAATAATAATAATAATAATATTATTATTATTATTACTATTATTATTATGCTATAATATTATTATGTTATATTGTTAATATTGTTATTCTTGTTATTATATTACCTCTAGTTCCTTCATAATTTCATCGGTGATGTCTGTCGAGTTATTTTTGTAGGCAACTGCAGCCCTGATTGCATCTTTAAAGACCTATGGAAGAGAGGGTTGATTGATTGATTGATTAATTGAGTGGTAAAATAATTGGTTGATTGATAAGTTTAATAGTTTGTTGATTGATCGATTGATTGATTGGTTAAATGAGTGATTTGGTTGTTTTATTTGTTGATTAATTGGTTGGTTGGTTGAATATTTGGTTGATTGGTTGATTGATTGGTTGGCTGATTTATTGATTGATTGATTTGTTAATTGATTTATTGATTTGTTAATAGATTGCTGATTAGAAAAAACTTCTACACAAATACATAAACATTTAACCAAATTCGAACACATATTTTGTACAGACCTACAAAACATTGGGAAAAAAAACTTAAAAGACAAACGAAAACTAAATGCGAAACCCAAAATATACAAAACAATACAATACAAAATATACAAACAAATACAAAAATATACAAACAAATACAAAAATATACAAACAAATGCAAACATAGGAACCTTAACGACGTTACTGCCATCTGAGGCAGAAACAAAATATAATGGTAGTTTATTCTTCGTGGCAAAGTTGAAAGATTTCTTCACTACATCCATATCCACTAAACAAACAAACAAACAAACAAATAAATAAATAATAATAACTATAATAAAAATAAAAATAATAATATTGACAATGATGATGATGTATGGTAATGACAATATATAAAGAGCACCAATGATATGGACAATAACAATAACGCTAGAGTTATCACTACTACTACTGCTGCTACTACTTCTACTACTACTATCTACTGCTACTACTAATACTACTACTACTTCTACTACTACTACTATTATTACTACTATCAACTACTACTACTACTACTACTACTGCTACTACTGCTACTGCTACTACTACTACTACTACTACTACTACTACTACTACTACTACTACTACTACAACAACAACAACAAAAATCAACAACATACCATCGATTTTGTTGGCAACACACAGACATGGCACTTCAGGTCTATGCTCTCTGAGTTCTTTGTACCAGTTTGGTAGGTTCTTGTAGGTTACTTTGCGGGTCACGTCAAAAACCTTTCAACGTAGAGGACCAATTTATTTTTTTCTCAAATTATATCATCACATAGTTACTTTAACCTTTAACCTTTTTTAACTGCTGTTTTAACTGCTGTTTTCACTGCTTATTTTCAGAGCAATCAACGACATACCAACTCATTCACGCTTCAAACACACACACTGCATGTGATGGACGGAGATCTTTTGGCAAACACTGATTCCAACAAACACTCACATACAAACAACACACACACACACACGCACACACACACGTACACACACAGGCACACACACGTACACACACACACAAACTCACAAGTACGCAAGCATGTGCCTGGTGATAATAAGACGGGTGCATGCTGCTAAATCTTTCCTGGCCTGCCGTATCCCAAAAATCTTTCAAAATAAATTTAAATAAAAAATATTAAGATAAAAATTGTCAAAAATGGCGATGAAATGAAAAACTTCATGATCAAGAAGGATTATTTGTTTGCTATCACCAACCTACTAAAACGTCCTTGTCATCGATACGTGCTCTGTGTTTGAACAATGTTAGGGCATACGTCGAAAGCTGCTGTGGCTTGCTTCAAATAATTTTTAAAAACAAAAAAATATTAAAAAAAATTTATTTATTTTGAATTTTATGGAAAAATTTAACTTTGTAGACACAATTCCTCTTACTGTTTTAATAAAAGTTAATTTATTTTTATTTCTAAAACAAAGAAGCATTTTTTGTTTTTAAATTTATTTGTCAATTTAAGAAATGAATTAGTTTAAAGTGATAAAATATGGTTAAATATAAGAAATAAATTTAATGAAATTAAATAATTAAATAAAATGAATGAATATGATCGTATCTATATATAAACTGGAAATGTCTTCTTAAAGCAAACTTACAATCCATCTAACAAAAATCTTTCAATTAATCTGCAAAGTATAATTTCAAATTTTTATCAACTAATGCCTCAAAACTATCAAAATTAAATTAAAAAATAAATTATATTTATAAAATAAAATATGCATAGGCAAACAAAAAATTTACACCTTGCCCCTCTCACACACCACATACCACACACACACACGACACGACACGACACGAAACCACAGCCCACCACACGACACGCGACAACACAATACACTACGACATACATACAGAAAGATACCTGATACAATTACAATACAAACAAAAAAAAACAAAGAAGATACAATACACATTATATGACATTACATTACAGATTACATATTACAACATACTTTGATTTCCCGACGGCACTGTCTCCTAAGCAGATGATTTTAACTTTCTCTAACCCGTCAGCAGATAAATAATCGTAATTAGGAATATCCGACATTATTGATAATTATCTTCTGGCTTATTTAAAATTATTTACACTATATAATAAATTAAATGATATTTAATTATTTATTACTCACGTATCCATCCCCATAGAAACCAAAAGCATTATCAATCGGGTCAAAATTCTTGATCGTTACACAATTCTTAGTTGCCAGATATTGCCTATGTATAGTATATATGTATATTGTATATACTAGTTTAGAATAGAGAATACAGTGTTATAGATAGGAAATTGGCGATTTTTTTTGCTCATTCCACATTTTTAAAAATAATTTCTCAATCCAAACCTGGGTTTATATTCAAATTTTGAAAAACATTGCTGTTTTTTAAAGGCTGTCACAATTTGGGAGCTAAATCCATTAATTTTGTTTAGATATTTTGTCTTAAATTTAACTTTATAAGTTTAAACCAACCAAAAATGGTTATTGTGGAAGGGGGGTTTAGCCCCAAATCTCATTTTTAACTAAGCCAAGTGTAGAATATGTAGGGTGCATGAGAATACGTTAAAATAATACTAGATATTTACTTAACATTCAAAAATTTAATTTGTGGCAACCTTAATCACTTTTAAAATATATAGCTGCTTAAAAACCAGAAATAAAAAAAATCATCTTACACAATCTCCGCAAAAGCATCGAAGCACGTTAAAGATAAGATACACGTATACAACATAGTACCAGAAAGTATCTTTATCTAAATGTATAAAGATTTTATCTTAATTTAATCGTATCAAGATACACACGCATAGATATACAAATATAATAGATGCGATCAATAAAAAATAACGAACGTAAAACCACAGTAGGTTAAATTTTTTATTGGAATGAATTCGCAGATAAAAATTGAAATATAGAGAAAAATTAAACACAAATGTCAATATAAGAGGATTGACTCGGGCTTTATACCCAATAGCACAGTTTCATGAGCAGCGGGAAAGATAACATTAAACAGAAAACTACACATAAATACGCAGACAGGCAGGCACATACCTGCTGTACTTTAGGTACATTTATAGTTGGATGTCGGCTAGTGCCATTGAAAATAAAAACTCTCCAACATGGGAAAAAATTATTAAAATCTGTTTAAAAAAAGCTCAAAAATTGAAAAATCGATTTGACGAATAAGTTGAAAAGACAAAATGGAAATAAAATGTCGTAGAGTAAATATCTAAATTATTTCTGCCGGCATAGATTGCAAGAAAAACTTATTTCGGAATGACAATAATAACCATAAATATAACAACAACAATAATGATTTCAATAGCATTAATAATGAAATCATAGTTCTTTCTTCTCGAAACGGCACGCAATTGAACCCGGGTCATTAGATCTGCTATAAAACAAACTATTAACGACCGTTGAAGCACCATTTCCGCGTTTAATGGGCCATTAAAGTCCATTAAAAATTCATTTGAACGTATTCAGGATGCCTGCGAAAGATTTTTTCAAGTTGGTCATCGTGTTGTCGATCACGCTGTCACTCTCATCCATCTCCAACAAATCTTTCGTTACTGCTTCTATGGTACCTGGTGAGGCAGGCCGTGCTGGTTCTGAAGAAGTTGCTGCTGCTGCTGATGCTGCTGCTGCTGGTAGTGGTGGTGGTTTTGTCGATGTCGTCGTTGTTGTTGTTGGTAGTGGTTTTGTTGTTTGCGGTAATTTGTAGCCGCTGGACATTGAAGGGAGTTTGGGCGCTTTTGGCGTCGATGAGATTGATGGTGGCGTTGATGACGAAAGTTTTGTTGCAGTGCTCTGCCCGCAGTCAATGTTGTTGTTGTTGTTGTTGCTGTTGTTGTTGTTGCTTAACTTCATCAGTGCAGACTGGTCTTCAACGTTTGTGGGTCCGTAACTACCGACGCTACCAAATTTTTTGAGTGTGTTCTTCAGATCTGTCAAGTTTCTAGGCAGAGGTGTTGCTGTTGCAGTTGATGCTCTCGAAGTCGTTGATGTCGTTGTGTTTGTTGTTGTTGTGTGATCACTTTTGAACCTGCGTATGAAATATGCGACGAGGTAAAGGAAGCAGGCAGCTTCAAACAACGTACATACATACATCATAATAGCAATATAGGAAAACGGGAGAAAACAAAACAAAACAAAGAAGAAAGCAAAAAATGTTAACCAAGAAATACAAAAAAAATGAGCTTCGAGTTTGCAGTTGGACGTGAAGAAGCAGCGAAATTAATTGCATTACATTCAAAATATAACGATTTGTACTGTGTTGTACTGTGTTGTACTGTGTTGTACTGTGTGTGCGAGTACCTGTACGTCCACATCATTTTTTATTTTTCATCATTTTTATTTTCATTTTATTATTATGATATTTTTATAAATAAATAAATAAATATATATATATAGACACACACACACACACACACACACATATATATATATACATATATATATATAAGACCCACTTCTTCCAACATATATATATATATATATATATATATATATATATATATGTATATTTAATAACGTAATTTTTTCAAAGCTTCTATATACACTGTGTCAGAAATTTTACCTAACTTCCGAATTGTAGGTGCAATGCAGGGTATAGTAACAAATACCCAGTCGGTTGTACAACCACTTTAGTGCCAAAACCAAAAACAAAACGTGTAAACCAAACAAACAAGGCATCTATCACCGACATGAACACATCAACATGAGCAAGAAATTAAATGTTTTCTAAACAAAATATTGATATAAATATATTGAAAAAAGTATCAAACCATTGAGAAGAGCAAAAAACCACGTAATCACAACAAATGTAGTAGCAAATACATGTAGACAAACATATTTTGAACGGATGCCAAGGAGAAACTACGAGATGGTAACTTCCGTCTAATGTTGCTGGTCGCCGTTGGAGTCATAGACCGAGACATGTGTTGCTGCTGCTGCTGCTGTTGCTGTTGCCGTTGTAGTTGGTCGTGCAACAGAAATTGAATTTTTGTCGAGAGAGAGCTATTGTGGGTTTGAGTGCAAAAGCCGATAAGAAAATTTTCAACGGTAATAAAGAAAAATTTACTTTATTGCTTTTTTGCCTACTGCGACTACTCTATGAATAAACACATTCGGTGCAGTTTTTTCTTTATTAACATGAGCAGCGTTTAAAATCAAGAATAAATATTTATAACGCTATCTGCGCGACCACAACTACTACAGCTACTACTTAATAAAAGTTGATACTTCTATTACTACTTTCATTATTACTATATTTATCATCATCATCATCCTTATTGTTATCATCATAATCGTCATTCTCATCCCCATAGTCATCAATATCGTCATCATGATCATCAAATACATTAACACCATCATCATCATCATCATCATCATCATCATTATCATCATCACACTCCTCATCATCATTACCACACCGCATTAACCACACAAAATACATAAACAACATCATCATCACCATCATCACCATCACCAAATCATCATCATCACCATAACCACCATCATCCTCATCACCACCACCAAACCATCATCATCCTAATCATCCTCATCAGCAAGACTAACTTGCTCCTCTTATCGTCCATCTCCTCCAACTTCCGGATCACGAGGTCGGCCATCAGCTGGCAGTCCTCCTCTTGCTCGTTGCCCAACAGCGGCAGGGATGAGTCAGTCACCTTTGCAGACGCGTGAATGAGTTGGTGGGATAGATAGAAAAATTGAGAAAAAGAGAGAAGGAGAGAGAGAGAAAAAAAAGAAAGAGAGAAAGAAAAAGAGAGAGAGAGGTATGAAAAAAATGAGAAAAACAGAAAGAGAGAGTGTATGGGAGGGAGAGAGTAAGATAAAAAAAATGAAAGAAAATGTGAAAAAGAGGGAAAGAGAAAAATGAGAAATAGAGAAAAAATGGCGGACGTGTTTGTTTGGCGTGTATATGACGAGTGTGACCTCATAAAAATTTCTGCAAGTCTGAATTTTTTTTTTGAAAAATAAAAAAAAACAACCCAAAAAACTGACCTCTACGATGAACTCTCTGCCATCGGCTGCCAGGATGGCCTTGACACAGATAATGTCAAGGCCGCCAAATATTTTACTGCATTCATCCACCCATGATTTGTATCTGGGTAATGTTTTTCACCGAATTATTCGATTGGATAGGTTACTAAAGATTTTATCTATCAAGAAACAAACAATGAGGGAGTGCTTGCTATCAATGAAACAATTTACTACTTTTAAAACAGTAGTTTGGTCTGTTTTATTGAACAATGCTTCATTAAAATTAAACATTATTGATATTGAGTAAAATCAATAATGAAACAAGTTGTCAACTATTCAACCAACCAAGCAATCAATCAATCAATCAACAATCAATCAGCCAACTAACTAACCAATCAGCTAGCCAGCCAACCAACCAATGAACCAACCAGCCAACCAACCAACCAACCAACAAACCAACCAACCAACCAGCCAGCCAACCAACCAACCAACCAACCAACCAACCAGCCAACCAACCAACCTATCATTGACAGGAACTTGTTCTAGGATAGCTGACCCAACATTTGCCTTCCAATTTCCTGACATGGCCCTCCGTCTGGTTTTATAATGATAACAACCAGAATAAAAATAAAATTGAAAATAAATAAGCGGCGCGGTGGCTTAATGGTTAAGATGCCTGGCACTGATTTCGCACGAACCGCATTCGAATGCAAACAGATGCCTGCAAGTCACCTCTATGAGATAGAGAATTGTAAAAAATAATAAAATAACAATAATAATAATATGAACAATAATAATTATAATGAAAATAATTATGGCCACACGAACATGTAAGCCTTATAATTGTGCCCGATTTTAATAATGTGAACATCGCCTAGCGACTGTATGTGGGGTTCAACTGTCGCGTAACATTCCGTCACACCCATTATGCTGGCAATGTCTTGAAACAAGTGATGGTCGTCAACTTTGACCTGGAGTGGGGGTGAAGGTCATTGGATGTCACGTTGTTTTGGTGGGGTGGAGATGATGGGGATGATAGTGACGTAGATCATGGTGGTGATGATGGTAATGATGATGATGATGTTAATGATGATGATGATGTTAATGATGATGAGGATGATGGTGATGAGGATGATGGTGATGATGATGATGATGTTAATGATGATGATGGCAATGATGATGATGAAGATGATGGTAATGAG